GACAGAAGAAATTCCATATTGTTTTTTTCGTTTCATTATATTGAGACTTTAAATGTTTGCGTGTTATAAAAATTTGAAAAAAATATAAAAAATCCTTCGAAATATATCAGAAATCTATTACGTATAAATTAAATGGTATTATATAAACAAACTGTAGATGAAAATGCATTTAAAATCCTAATATACTGGTTGATATATAAGACACGCACTTATTAAACCATACTTTATAACAATACGTAACAACAACTCCTGTAACAACATCCTGTAACTTAACAATAACGTAACAATACTCCCCATCACATATAACATAACACATATAACAAAAGACCTTGGTTATATCTCCTGTGAATATATAAACCTAACCGAAAATCTCACTTCTTTCTTGTTCTCTTGTTTACAGTGTGGTCACCGTGTTGGGAAGGTCCAGTGGCTCACCTGTCCCTCGGGGGTCCAATAATTTATTCCGGTAAATTTCACTTTGACTTCCTTCCTCTTCCTCTTTGTCTTCCTTGTTTTTATTCGTCTTTTCAATTGTTTATTTTATCGTGTTTATCTTCTTCGGTTTATATGAATCGTGTTTTTATTCTGTTTGGTGTTGTTTATATTTCTTTGTCATTTTGTTTTTAAGTTCACTCTGCTGTCGCCACACTCACTCTACCACCCACACACACACACACACACACACACACACACATTTTAATATTCCTTTCTCAATAAATAATAAGCATTAAGACCCACAGGCATAATAACCTTAAACAAACTAATGTCAAAATGAACACTGACTCCTGTTGTCTCGGGAAGGTTGTCAAATTCTTCGTCTGTTGTGTCATATTATCCAGCCAAAAATTGTAAACGTATTTTTTTATCGTGTGTGTACATTATATATATACAGGGTGATGCAGTGTACAGGGTGATACCGTATACAGGGTGGGTCAGAAAGAAAAAAAAAACGTCACTTTATGGTTTCTAAATAAATAGATCAAATTAATATAACACTAGACAAATTTTATGTTTTTTTAGTACATTGTCAATTTATATGTTGATTGCAAATCGCGTTCACAAGACACTAATCTGATTATATCTTTGCAATTTTTTTTAATATTAAACGTAATTTATTAATGTAATTGTCGATGCTATTTTGTTTCCTTACCTATATTTGCTTTTATTTTCCATATTTTTTTACACTAGTTTAAAATTGTCTTTTATTTTACGTTTTTTTTTGGGGGGGGGCTATTTTTTTTTATATTTGTCGTTTGTTTCTGGTCCACCCTGTATGAGTTATGGTAGAGGAATATACAGTATTTAACTCCAGGTGTGGGATAACAGCTGCTGTGGTGGTGGTGGTGGTGGTGGTGCGGTAAGCAAAGTGGATTATGCAACACTACTTGATAATGATAGACCTCATGTGACGGAGCGCCCTATATATATGACTGTATATGTGTGTGTTTGAGTATATGGGTGAAGGAAGGAATGGTGTGTATGTATGTACAGTAAACCAACCACAGTACACTCAGTAAACCTACTTCAGTACTTCCTTGCAGGTTAAGTACTGTCGTGAGTGTTGTTGTACACCTGTGCCTTTATCACCTTCCCATCTGTTGCATCTGATGACATAAAGACATTAACACTGGACACTATAGGGACGAAACGCCACAACAACCAGGAGTATTTCGTATTTTTCGTATTTTGTCTTTTTTCGTATTTTTCGCATTTTTCGTATTTTGTCGTATTTTTCGTATTTTTTTACAAGTTACAAGTCGTCAAGGTGTCTTTAGATAAGTCATTGGTGAGTTAAAGGACATAGGAGTTAGTTGTCAAGCCATAGAAGAGAACGTATTGATGTGATGTTATATATATTACTCATTATTCTGCCGTAGTTTCTATTCTGGGGTTTGTTTCTCTCTCTCTCTCTCTCTCTCTCTCTCTCTCTCTCTCTCTCTCATTGGAACCTTGATCTTGTTTGCCCGTTGTGGTGGTTGTGGTTGGTGTGGTGATGGTGGTCGTGGTGGTTGCATGTGTTAATTGGTGGTAGTGGTGATTGCAGATGGTGATGATAAAGTTTGGTAGTAATAGTGGTAGATGATGATGGTGGTGGATGATGATGGTGGTGGATGATGATGGTGGTAGATGATGATGGTGATGGCTGTGATGATGGTGATAATGGTGACTCATCTATCGGCCGGTACAGTATTACCAAGTTACCCTCAAGCGTCCAGCCCATCACCTTCCACCAGCTGGCCACAACCTTCCTCAGGCAACATGACGTTCACTACTTCGTCAGGTATACCCCTCCTCCTCCTCCAGGTGAGAGAAAAATTACAGGGGGGGGGAGGAAGAGGGAGAGGGGGGGTGCAGGTAAGGCTGCCTCCCTCCAGGTGCGACTCAGACAAGGTCGCGGCCGCCAGTTAATCACCTCAGTTGGTCACTGTCGCTGATCTTAGTTATGTCCTCTCCTCTGTGTTTATGACCCCCTTGTTATTTCCGGTTAATTTCACCTTCATCGTTCCAGCCACACGTCGGAACCATCACGGAAAAGAGAGAGAGAGAGAGAGAGAGAGAGAGAGAGAGAGGCGTGAATGAGAAGTGAAGTATACTGGACATATATCGTCTGTTGGTCTCCCACGCTCGACCTTATCTTCCCACGGGAGCATCCACTGGTGTGTGTGTGTGTGTGTGTGTGTGTGTGTGTGTGTAGGTAGGTGTGTGTGTGTGTGTGTGTGTGTGTGTGTGTGTGTGTAGGTAGGTGGTGTGTGTGTGTGTGTGTGTGTGTGTGTGTGTGTGTGTGTGTAGGCTACCAGTTGTTGTGATGGTGATCGGGGAAATTACCGTCGTCGCTTTCTGAGACTCCAAGAGACTCACTTTACAATGACCAGTGGAGGACATACCTTAGCCCCTCCCCTCCTCTCCTGCTCAGTGAGGTGTGGTGAGGTAGAGGAGGAACAATACACCTCCCTCATGATACAGTACATAACCTCACACTTCCATCGGCACTCTCCAAGTCTCCCTTCCTCACCTGCCACTCTCACACTCCTCCTCCTCCTCCTCAGGTAAACGCAATAATGACACACACACACACACACACGTCTGCTCACCCAACCAAGACGCGTTCGCTTCTTTGACGTTCTCTCATATTAAATCAGAATGTTTACAATTGTTAGTTTGCCTCTTGTCTTAACCTGACGATCTCTCTCTCTCTCTCTCTCTCTCTCTCCTAAAATCCTCCATAACACCTCCTTCACTCTTCCTCCTCCCGTCTTCTCTACCACCTCCTTTCCTCCCCTCCCTCCTTCCCTCCCTCCCACTCCTCACTCGCTTCAGATCACCGCCCCGCCAGGAACCGCTTCTGTTATGTTTGCCACGCGAGGGAAAGTTTTAATACATTTAACAAAACATCATAAACACTCACATCTTTCACGCCTCATCTCCTCAAATGGTTAGGTTAGGTTAGGTTAGGTTAGGTTAAGTTAGGTTAAGTTAGGTTAGGCTGCAACGATTACAAGAAATCCCTGAATTTTTTTTTTTTAGGGATTACGTAAAATCTCTAGTTTATACATAATCCTTCGTAACATACATACATACATACATACATACACCCAAACGACAACACGTCTTAACAGCGACGCCCTCATGCAATCACGTGGTGGTCGTAGTTGTGTCGATACATAACTACAGCGTGGGATTATTACCTAGGTTATTTAGCGACGTTCACCACACTCACCACAACAACTATCCTCATTATCAAGATCATTACTATTATTATTACTACTAGTCGTCATTATCTTCATCATCATTAATATCATCATCATCATCATAATCATCACCACTCACAAGACAGACAGACAGAACAGAACAGACAGACAGACAGAAAGAGAACGTCTAGACAAGATGGATCCATTCACAAAGTCACAACAAACGCCCCCGCCCCCTCCTCCTCTTCCCCCCCTCCCCCCCCCCCTTCACACCCATCCCCCATCACTGTTGAAGATGGGGAACACACAACACACCTTTACCTATTTACGTAACTTGTTGGGGGGGAATAATTAATATTTAAGTATAAGGATAATTAAACAGACAGGTATAATTGATAATGATAAATAAATAATTGAATACAGACAGACTGAGACAGAAAGGTTAAGCAGACGGACACAGTGAGACAGAAAGATAAACAACCAGACAGAAAGCGAGACAGAGGTAAACAAACAGACAATGAGATAGAAAGGCAAATCGACAGACATACAGAACGTGAGACAGACAGATAAATAGTATGATAGATGGACAGACAGACAGACTTTCTTCTCTCTCTCCCGCCCGCAAGATAGATAGATAGATGGATAGATAAGATGGGTAGCTAGATAGGCAAACAGATAGATAGATAGATAGATAGACGGACGGACGGATAGATAAATAGTTCTTGATAAAATCACACGTTTCCATTGTGAATCTACATGAAATAGATATATGAAAAAATAAAAATAATGGTATTTGGCTCAGAAAACAAAGCAAAAAACACTAATTATGTCACCCTAAAGACTCATTAGGAAAGTCAATTACTGCCCCAGTCGTTGGCTCGCGTGACTTCACATATGAAACGTAAATAAACACGTTATTTTCACCGAACTCTAACGTCAGCTGTTAAGTCTCTTGGTTTTGCTACAGCGTCTTGGCTTACTACTTGGTGCCCTGTTGATATCACCGGGAATAAGTTAAGAGTCCTTTAAATCGAATATAAATTTAGTTCAAAGTTTAATGACAGGAATAAAACAATTTTGGTTTAGTTATAACATCAGTTTGTGTTATGTTATCTAATGAAGTTTACGAGGTGACTTTTAAACAGGTAAAGGACTATGTTCAGTTTGTTTAAGTATATTCTAGGTTATTTTCTGAATTAATAAGATATGTTCCAGATGTAATGAGTAACTTGGTAGAAGACGGTTAATATTGCCACCATCACCGCCCCCGCACCTCCCATGTGTGTGGATGTGATGCTTGTCTGTACTCACGTGTTTATGTTGTGAGGAGCGAGCAAGTCCGCGGGCCTCTCACTACCACTACAAAAGTCTTACTGGCGCCCTCACCTCAGCGAGTCAGTCAGCCAGCCAGCCAGTCCAGCAGCCTCCGATGACTCTGCTCACTCCACGTCCCCTCCCACCTCCCCGAGCCCCGCCCCTTCTCCTCCTGCACCCTCAGCGACACCACCAGGAAGTACACCACCACCCCGCCCCCACTCCCCTGCCTCACACCATCCCTCACCCCTGAAGGTATAAATTTCTCTGGACACTGGTCATGAACTCAAAAAGACACATAATGGGGACATACCATGATTTCCCGGCCATATACAACCAAGTGAGTTTCTACCGCATTGACCACGTGACTTCCTGATTCACCAGAGAAACAAGAAACTTTTGTTGACAAGGTCCCCAGCTGGCCAGGAGGTACAAGGCCTTGGCCAGGTGTGAGCAATACGTCTCAGGGGGGGAAAGTGTGCTTGAAGGATGACCGCTCGGTGGAGACTTAATTTAATTATAAACTAACTAACCCAACCCAACCTAACCTAACCTAATCTAACCCAACCTAGTTGAAGAGATCAACCAGGTAACAGCAGAACCAAGCATAGGTATGGCGTTTATAGTGATGCGTTAACATATATTTGGTATTATTTTTTGGAGTATTCTAAATTAATAATGCTCTACGTCTCAAAGCACCATCCCAAAATTAACCACAAGTATGCTAGAATATTCTCCTAAGACACCACACAGTCTACCACACCCAACCCAACCTAACCTAACTACCCCCTACAAAAAAAAAAATACCAGTACACCATTTCATATGACTAATATACCAACAATATTATCACGAACATGTATCTTACTCAGGAGAAATTTGTAAATATGATGCAAGTTTTTCCCCTTCACGAATTTCAACACACACACACACACACACTTGACATGTCGAGGCTTTCATGGCGATTACACCACAATTTACTGCATGAAAACGAAAAAAAAAACTCACTCCACACACATTTTCGCCGATCAATTCTCTCAAAGATAATTATTTAAGTGAATATCTTGCGAGTCGAGTGTTGTTTAAGTGTTTATTGTGTGTGGGGGGGCAGTGTTGCGTTTTGTTTTGTTTTCGTAAGTGTTACCGTGTGCTTGCCTGCGTGTTCGTGTTGGGTATAACGAAACACTAAGTAAAAAAGAAGTAATGTATTATTTATAAAAGTCATAACATCTTAAACTTTTCTGATTATTAACAAGTTTATAGCTTCATATAGTATCAAAGTTAATATATGGAATTTAACATACATTTGGTTTATCATTATGGTCTGCAGTGACAAAAAATAAGGCTAAATCCTATGAAATTTAACATCTTATTACTTTGATCTTCAGTAACGTATAAGAAAAAAATATGTGAACTTTAACATCCCATTTTTTAAGGTTTTATTCATTGTTTTTAAATTAGGTCAAAACTACCACGAAATATCAAGTTGTGATGACAGGAGCAGATTGTTGTGGTGTAACCGAGCAGTGGAGGATTTTCTGGTAGTGCCGAGTTCGTGATCCACTCCTTTCGGCTTCCACTTATAGATCCATCTTCTATTCTGATCCATATCTTCACGGTAGTCCAATCTTCCCCCATACTTTCTTCCACTCTATTTCACCCACTCCACCTTTATGTTCATCACTTGTCTGCCGTTCCATGTATAACTTCTACCCATGCCTTCTATATATTGGTGCGTGTGTAACTAATAACTCAACTATTTTTCTTCGTCCACTTATAAATTATTCAATAACTTTAAAAATTAAATTCAATCCCTTACATGTTATGGCTCTTGAAAACACTAGCATTACTTTGTTAGTATAGAGGTTTTTTTTTTCGGGAGGTTGTGTTGTCAGCTTAACATAAAAATACAAATTGAAATATCAGGTGAATTGGCCCAACAACCCTCCTGATAGTCCAGTATCCAATCCAGTCCAGTCAAGTCATGTCCTGTCTAAATCCAATCCAGTCCAGTTCAGTTCAGTCTAAATCCCTGGCGTTGACTGTCTGACTGTAGCTAAATTTACTCTTACGAAGTCAGTCTCGTGACGAATCTTGTGTCATGTTAGGTCAGGTCAGGTCATTAATTGTTCAAATCTTTGTGGTTCAGTTCATTACGAGAAGCAGCTACCGTATTCCTTCAGGTGGAAATGTTTACACGAGGCAGTCAGAGCACAGGAGAGAACAGTCATCATGGTTCATTACTCTCAGCCGATACTTACAGTCTGAAGTGTTATGCGCCGAGGTCATCGTTACAAGTCTGAAGCTTAGTTGGGTATATTCAGTCTGAAAGTCTTTATGAAAAGCCATGAACTTTTGGGTTGGCTTTGTGGTGCCAAGACCAACCACACGTCCAGCAGTTAATCAGTCAAGACCAACCACGCGTCCAGCAGTCAGTCTTTACAAATCGTCAGGGTCTTACTGCTGACAACAACACCGCCTCCCTAACGTAAAACTGAAAGTAAAATTAAAATCTAAATATGTAAGTGTTAGTAACGAACAAAAATATTTAATTAAGTCGTACCTACAAGACACGACATACCATAAAAAAAGTCTTATTAAAAAAGTAAAAACTGAGCGACTAACTCCAGATCAGATAGAGAAAATTTGGAACTATCTTCTCCCAGTAGTTAACGGTCGCTGTACTAAAACTTTCCTTATCACTTAAAACAAGGAGTGTTGAGGCTAGAGACGAAGCCAATGCGCCACTCAAAAATAAATTTACTTTAAATAAATCACAGGACATCAGTATTTTAATTTAACTTGACTTTTGAAATTTTTAGAAATATTTCTGTTAGGTTTTTCGGAAGTATTAAGTTGACTAAGTGGGAGCTGTAGTTCATCAGTTCTCCAACACTCCTCTCGTGTAAAACCTCAAACTAACAATACAGAACATGAAGGCCGCGATCCCCTACATCTCGTGGTCAGTCTCCTCCGACAGTCAATTTACGACTTTGTACTCTGTCATCTAGGGCCTCTACTGCTTGCCCTTTTCCTTCAGGAGCTTCAATATATGGATTACCTCCGCCCTCAGAAATGTCGCCTGTGTCTTCAGTTTAACATTCTCGTCCTCCAAGGATCGGACCCGGGCGGCTGTCTGGGGTAGAGTGAGGGAAAAGTTACATCAAGTTTCTCTGTGATTCCACGGTCTAGTTCCGTACGTCGGGGACAAAATTTCGCTCAGCGTGGTGAAACTGAGTCACGGGACTGAGTCTCCGAACTGACTTACCCGGACTCATTATCTCGTTTAGGGTCGATGCTGCTTCATTTTTGGCGGGAGCGAACTTTTGACCCCGACTGTACATGAATACTGTATGTACCTCCACGTTCTCCATACACCAAATGTCTGCATTGTCTAAACTCATTCTACATTGTCTATATACATGGCAAACCAATTATAAACCTGCATGGGGTTTTTATTAGTTATTACAGTTGGAACGAAAGTAAATCTAATCCCTTTTTAATCGCCAACACTCACCAAGGCAACCAAAATACTTTTGTTATCACGAGACTTCTTGGCGGCAATGTTGTTCCTGGAGCGTCTCTCGAAGTAAGCCTTATTCTTTAACTCGTCTGGAATGGGGTTCCGCTTTTTACGTGGACGTCCCGCCTCATCTGCAACACCAGGAACCATTCACAATTTGTACGAGTAACGTCTATTCTCGAATATTTCTTGGGCGAGTCTGACTATTGCTGTCCCTGTATACCTACTGGAATTTCCTATACAAGAACCTGAAGGTGGACCAACAGTTCTGAGGTGGGTCTTCAAGGGTCAACCAAAATACTAAATACTGTAATTAAGTAAAATTTAATTATATGAAACTAGAACGAATTAGGAAAATTTTAAATTATTAATTAATACGAAAACTAGACTTTTTTTTTTACGTCCATTATTAGTGTGAGCCCGACACAGTACCGACACGAGGAAAGAAAGCAATGACAATTGTTCGAGGTGTGCTTATTACATTATAAATAGCCAGACTTCATATCGTACAATACCGAGACACCTCAAGTTAGACCTTTATAGAATAATCACTTAAGATAATCTACTCCGTAATGAATAACTAGTGAACTAATAAACATATCGGTCATACAAGATGATTGTCGAGTCACTGGTTACCATATTACTGTACAGTCACCACCCAAAGTTTCGACACTCCCCTGGCTGGGTGTTCGCCAAGGCCAGGGTTGAGGCAAGGATGGGTGATCGGACGCAGACATTCCACCACCACAACACTCCGAGACTCACAGCACACGAGCATGGAAGGAAGTTTTTACGAATTTTAACATGGCATGTACCTGCAAAACAAAATTTCATTCATAACATTGTTGGCACACATAACAATAGCAAGTTAGGAGTGAGGCATGAGAAACCTGGGCTGTTCTCGACCCAGTTATGAAATATGAATATTGATAAACATCACGTGTTGGTGGACTAAAAGTATCGTGATACTACAACAGACAAAGAATAAGTCCCATCACAAAGATGCACATTAACAGTCACTAATCATAAGCCGACTGATTTCACTAATTGATGTTCCACCCTGATAGTGACCCACTATCAGAGCTCTATTGGCTATCACCTCCGGGCGATTAGCTCGAGTGTTAGGTGGACGTAGCCCACGTCCTCCAGCCAGAATATCCATATCTGTTGGAAATTAGCTCCAAGTTACCAAATTAGGACGTCAGATATTCAGGTGAAAAATAAAAAATAATCATATGTGTAACTAGTTGTAATATTGGTGACCTGTGCCATAACTCTCATAATCCGAGTCATTATGAAGTGAAATTTAAAAACTTAAAGCAGCAGGAGACATGAAACAAGGCAAGTGACCAAAAAGTAGTCACTAGTGATGACACACGGCCAGGCATCTACGCTGAGGGTCGAGGTCTTCGGCAAAGTCGCTACTCCTGACCAGACAAAAATTGTTTGGGTGATACCATGATTAATGTGAAGTGCAACATTCCAAGTCAAAATACTCCAATACAGTTACTGGTACACCATTAAATATTGTAAACATGATTATATGAATTCCTAGGATGTGTGAAACCATAATATTCCCAGGGTTATGGTAATATCTATACCTGCATAGCCCTCACCTTGTCGACTGACCGCTCACTCTCTCGACGAAATTCGGCCGCCGGCCTCCCTTTATATATGCTGCGCCCTGATGATGCATGTGTAATACGAGGACTCGCTTCTAGTGGTTCCAAGCCAGTGTTTGGTACCGGGCAAAGTTTTTTTTATGCTCCAATCTTAACATGATATTGTTATATGTGGTAATGTTATGAATGCATTTGTTATGCAAGTTCACGTCATGTCAAAGTTCGTAATAAGTTCCTTCCTGTGCTCGTGTGCTATAAAGCTCGGAGTGTTGTGGTGGTGGAATGTGAACCTCACCATCGTAGTGCCTCGTTACCACATTGCTGAACTAGTTTGCGTCCGATCACCCAGCCTTACCTCGGCGAACACCCAGCCATGAACCCCGAGATTTAGACTCTTGAATCAGAAGCATTTATGGACAATAAATTATTAGTGTGTTTCGGGTTCACGTGTCTGAATCTCGGGGTTCGTGGTTCAGGATGAGAGGCGACAGGACGTTTTTGGGCGACTGTACATGTATATCTTTGCTGTATTGAATGGAGAAGAGAAATTCAACACAAGTCAATTACAGGCCTCAGCTTGTCTTCAGAAATACCCCTTCAATGCGTAAATGGGTTTGTTTATACAGTTGAGTGAGTTACAGGATCTACTATAGTGAACAATAACTAGATACTGGAGACAGGAACAGCGAGAAGGAATAAAGAGCAAGAGCTTGTAGTAAAAGTAAATAAAGGGACGACTTGGGCGAGTGTTAAGGGAAGGTATACTTGACCCAGTTACCTTCTAACACGAGAAAGCAGGAAGGAACAGGTAATAGCAAAGTATTGTTGGATTTTAGTAAGAAAATTAAGTCTTGGGAATGAAGGAGGAAGTGCTCAGGGAACCAACGAAATTGTCAACTCACTTCCAGGAAGAGACAGCTGGTAGGGGAGACGAGGAAACCTGGGCACATTTAGCTGGGAAGTGCCGAACTCCGCCTCGGGGTACATCGACGACCACGCCTCGGAGGACATCGACGACCACGCCTCGGAGGACATCGACGACCCCGCCCCGGAGTACATCGAGGACCCCGCCCCGGAGGACATCGAGGACCCCGCCCCGGAGGACATCGAGGACCCCGCCCCGGAGGACATCGAGGACCCGCCCCGGGAGGACACGACGACCCCGCCCCGGAGGACACCGACGACCCCGCCCCGGAGGACACCGACGACCCCGCCCCGGAGGACACCGACGACCCCGCCCCGGAGGACACCGACAACTCCGCCCTGTAGAAACTTAACCACCGCGCCTTGGGGTGCTTTGATAGCGGTGTCCCGGGGACTACTGACGAATGCGACCCAGGAATCATTGCAGACTGTATCCTGGGGGCCCTGGACTGTATTTCATTGGCCGCTGACAACTGTATTTCAGGAGCCACTGGTGACTGTACCCTGGGGGCCGTTGACTGCATTTCATGAGCCACTGACGACTGCATCTCGTGAGCCACTGACGACTGCATTTCATGAGCCACTGACGACTGCATTCCATGAGCCACTGACGACTGCATTCCATGAGCCACTGACGACTGCATTCCATGAGCCACTGACGATTGTACCCAGGGATTCATTTTTGACAGCTGTAATCTGCGGGCAATTTCCATTTGTATCCAGGGATTCATTAACCACTGTGCCTCGGGGGCCACCGCCGACCGTGCCTCGGGGGCCACCGCCGACCGTGCCTCGGGGGCCTCCGCCGACCGTGCCTCGGGGGCCTCCGCCGACCGTGCCTCGGGGGCCTCCGCCGACCGTGCCTCGGGGGCCTCCGCCGACCGTGCCTCGGGGGCCACCGCCGACCGTGCCTCGGGGGCCACCGCCGACTGTGCCTTGGGGGCAATTTCCGACTGTATCCTGGGAGTCATTGGTAAAGGCAACCCGTGGTCCATGGCCATCTGCACCCAGGGGTTCATTGGCCCCTCTGCCTCGGGGGCCACTGACGAATGTACCCCAGGGGCCATGGTCATCATCTGGGTGTGGAGGGCCTGCGCTGCCTCGCTTACCCCCTTCATTCTCTCTCTCGTGTAGTCCAACCAGTGACTCCTTCACCCCTGCAACAGGTACAACAATTACTGCTACAGCTCCTGGGTAAACAATGTGTCACAACAACAAAATAATATCTCATTCTTAAGTTGCAACTGACAATAACATGAATAAAAATGCAATAATTTACTTAACATACAGTATTTAAAGTATATGACAAATAATACAATATGAATATACATTAAGACATTTATACCAAGATAATAATTTAACAAATCATAACAACATTCATACTTACTTCGTACGGGCTGCGTCAAGGGAGTTGTAGTGGACAGATGTATCAATCCTCGTCAAAACTATATACACTATATAAACTAAATATTTTTTATTACTATACTATTATACTAGATTAATAAATGTATAATGAGGTCTCTTTAGCATTTACTTTTGGAGAATTTGATTTTTTTTTCAATAATTGTGATATTTCAAAAAAAATATCAAGGAAAAAAAATACAGTCAGCATTTTGTCACAAAGGAAGAATACAAAAAAAGGCGTTGACCTTAAGGGCGTATCCATCATAGTGTTGGAAAATACATATGTAACAAGGATGTAAATAATAGCGGGGTTGCAGTTCAAATAATGTGTAACAGCTCAAAGATATTACCCATACGTATTCCAACAAATATATAACCTGGAGTACGTTATGTATACGTTAATGAAGAATTCTTATGTATAACTATATAAAAGAAAACAGGTATGTCGGAGTAACTAAATAAATAGATTAATAAATATTAAAAACTTACTAGAGGCGGCCTGTTTGGTCAGGTTCTTGGTCTATCTTGCAGTGGTGTCAGGGTTCATGAGGCTACTGCCGGGTCTTGGTGTTAGGTTCTTCCTTCATGTAGCTTATATTTCTTTATTTTCCCTTGTTTTTGCTCCATAGCATTCATACGTTTGAAGAAGATGAAAGAAGAGTATTGTTTTGTATTTTATTTTACATTAATGCTCCATACCAGCCGGAGTCGCCCAAAATATCTGTCAGACCGTAGAATAATTAATGATCGGCTCTCTTGCGCAGTTGCCGAAGAGAACACTACACATTTTTCCCCTATTACCATAAAATACCTTCCTTCCCAAAGACTGTCACCATCCTATGACCAGTAAAGCGTTTCTGTGCATTCATGTGAAAAATGGGGGGTGGGGATCCTCCAGGAATCTAACAACTTTGAAAGCAAACTCGTCAAATGAATATTCCATCTAATTCTGGAATAACGATAGAAACTTAATTTATAGATGTTTGGCCTTCATAGCGGTCAAATAGGTAGTATTCCCCGTGAAATGAAATGAGTAGTGTACAGTACACTGAATAATGTACAGCAAGTCAATCGGTAAGTAACTACTGTGTTCACGAAGCAGAAATTGCAAGCTGATCAAACATAAATCTATCATAAAAAGCACACTTGATTGTATAAACTAGGCTTGCAGAGGATAGACTGGCGTTTAGAGTTCAATTCCAACCACATAACATTGAAAAATATACACACTCCACTATTTCATTGTTATGGGCATCTTGCTGCTATCTGAACCACGACAAAAATATTGAACCAAGTTTAAATACATTGTAATATTATGTACCTACCGTATATAAGCACATTATAGATATATCTTAATAAGTATGACGATGTTAATGCAGAAATATTCATTCATCTATCTGTCTGGCCAATCTATTTATCAGGATTTGTAGAAGATAGTTATTCCTCGAAATTCAGGCAAATTACTTCCATTTTCTGTGAATGATCATTTATTCTTCTCGCTAATTCTCTAAGCTGATGATAAACTAAACTAAATCAACCATATTTTGCACAGACGAACAAATATCCACGCACTCTCAAAGAAGCTAATTTTTTATTACTACACAAACAAAAATAACCATTACTTATTAATTGTTAGTGTATTTACTTACCGAGTTTAATCTAACCTCACCCACTTATTAAAATATTTTAGTCTATAAAACACAATAAAACAATATAACATCAATATCGGTTTAAAATTTAATCATGGACATTACATTACATCTTGTATTATATCACACATCAACTCTGACATATTACTAATTTTAATCAGATTATTATTAAATGTTTAAACAGATTAAACTTGGCGGGTGAGGATGGTGCTGCCAGGTGGTGGTGGTGGCGCTTCCCTCACCTCCTTCCTAACCCAAAGTACACTGTGGGTCCGTGTATGTGTGGATGTACTGAAATATCCAACTAATCCTCCAAAATGGTGAGTCTTAGTTTAATTTATTAATGCTTATATTATTCTGTTATGGTTCAATGTTGAAATTTAGATATAGTTAATGTTGTAAGTTGTATAAGTTATGAGATAATTAATTGAGAAGTGAAGGTGGTGTCTGGTGTGGAGGTTCAGATGATGTAAACAAACCCAACCTGGTCATACAAGTTTATTATTTACCACAGTGTGTAGATATAGAGTGTATGTATACTGAAAGTGGTAAATATTTTATAGATTCGTCCAATAAGACGTAAAAAGGCCATTTAATAACTTATTGCTACTGGGGTTCTTACGTGGTGTGTGATTATATTTTATACACCTTGGATATTTTGGGTCTGACTAATTACCCAAATATAGCCGGAATGAAGTCAAATAATGGTCCTAGATGAATAAATCGGACTGCTAATCACTTCTCGACTAGTATTTGGTGTCAGAAATTGACAAAAAATTGGTAAACTTAATTTAACCTGAGTTAATAGATCATGTGCATGTACCTAACCTAACCTAACCTCGACTAGTATTTGGTGTCACGAAGTCACAAAAAATTGGTAAACTTAATTTAATCTGAGTTAAAAGATCATGTAGATCTTCTTTGTGTTCCCCCGGGTAGTGTCAGTCTCCCTCATCTGGAACATTCCTATGAAATTGGAAATGTATCCATAATATAGAATACGAATACAACTACAGTATATATATACTATTCATTATTTGTACATACAATAGGTGTAAGACCCTATTATGCCCAAAGAAGAAAAATACAGGAATTACACACCCAACTGACTCACGAATCTGATAACTGAAACCTATAACAAAAGATAATTAAGTCAATATATACAAGTACTGTATGATATGATAGTAAAACCCTTGATATGAGGCCCCATTGTTTGTTTACAATTCATAGGAGACCAGTTTCAAAATTTATTAGTTTAACTGCTTAGGTAAACGAACTGCATCAAGGGAAATTTATCAGCAGAATATTTATGATAAATAATTAATTTCTTCACGTAGAGACGTGAAATTGGTGTTGTATGATTTTTTTTCTATTTACCCCGTAATTTCCCTCATCTTTCGTGTCCTGCTCACTTCAGGTGATTTATGATCGTAGATAGAGCAAAAAAAAAATCACCCAAGGAACAATTCTGGAAAATATTATTGATTTATATATTGTACTGTAAACACGTTTGAGTGTTAACCGTCTGCTCCACTTTTACTAAAGTTGCTAACTAGAACCCAGTAACAGCAAAAGAAACTTCCCTTAATATTAAAGTGGGTCGAGTGTAGCAATGACATTCGACTGTTACACTCTAAGTATTTTTCCTGTATAAACAATATAAAATGTTAATGCTTATAATTGTTGTCTTCTAGGGTCGTGTACGTACCAAGACAGTGAAGAAAGCTGCCCGTGTGATCATTGAAAAATATTACACCAGACTGGGCAGTGACTTCCACACCAACAAGCGTATCTGTGAGGAGATTGCCATCATCCCCTCAAAGCCTCTACGCAACAAGATTGCTGGGTTGGTATTACTTTTACTGGAGCTGCAGTAACCAATTACTGTACTGTAGTCTAATTTTTCACAGTTTCTGTACAGTTATGTAAGAACTCAGTTTTTGAATTTTGAGAAAGTTCAGTAACCCTAATTTCAGCACAATACTGTACATGAACAATAAAAGTAATGGTGATATAGCCTGAAGGTAGGGAAAATGAACCTTCATAATCTGCAATGTTCCCTCTTTTTATTCTGGCAAGACGTCATGTGGTCTAGCAATTCTAAGAATTACCTTATCCTGGCTTCTTCGTCTTTTATTAAGGGCAATCTATGTGGTCCCTTCATCATTGTAGGTGCACATTTGTTGTATGGTTAACTCCTTTAAAGACTAAACTACCTTTTATAGGGAAAGTTCCAGTGAATAGTTTGACAGTGAGCATCATCATCTAATAGGTGGCTTCTTCCAATTTGGCCATCAAGACAGTTAATGGGTCTCTTCACAGTCCAACCTGTTACGGCTGATGAAGTTGCTATGGGAAACTGGTGGTCACAAGGAGAAGCAGCCTTGTAGTGTTTGTGCATGGATTTTTTCTGTAGGAGCACTGCTACTGGAGTTAGGAGTGCTTGGGGTGTAAACCAACTCAATAGGTTTATGCAACTCTTAGAATAGAATAACTGCAAGTTTATCACTATACACTATTTGAAATGAAAACAATACCACAGCCCATTGTTTATTGTGGGAATTTTTAAATCCCTCTCTTGTGTTGAAACATATATTGGGCAGTATTCAGAAATTTTACTGACATGGTTTCTCTCATATATTTGTTTGAAGAACAGAATGATTAATATTCCCAGTAGTTATTGTTAATTTACTTTGATAAGATTTTTCATGTCAGTGGGATGTGTTGCTTATTGAGCACCCAGTCAGATACATAGGATCAGTTTGGCTTAGCAAAGGAATTTACTGTTACAAAGCTGAGATACTGTCAAACTTTGTACCTCTTAATCATTTCATGGGTGATGTGGACATGAGTGAAGGTCCTTGTTGTGGGGGCTTTCAATAACTGACTATTTGCTGGTCAGAATTGTTGTCCTTTAGTTTTCCTCCCTTTTCTAAGAGTTTCAGACAGTTTGTCTCTTCTTTGGGTGATTGTGTAGCTGGTTCATTTTCTAGCTTTAGCTTGAGAATATGGGGACAGGGAAAGTATGGTCTCTGGCCTGTATCTGTAATTTGGAGAATTTCTTCTTGATGACTGTTACGTTCAAGGTTTATGTTTTCCTTACATATTCTAAATATTTGTATGCCAGTTTGTATTTCTTTATATGCCCAAATTTTGTTTTATGATACCCTACTCCAGCCATATTATGATACAGTACCTTAAATGTGTTAGAAAGTTTGAATCACACACTTTCAATGTAATTTTCAGAATCATGGATTCTTTTCAGTTCTCAGGAAAGGTTTCTGCACATACTCTTAATCATTAAGTTTGAAATGGAGCAGGGTTGTTTGATAGATAATTTTATTAACATTTACTTTTGGGGTCAGATGTAGCATAAGTAAGGAATGGAGTTCAATTGACAGGTATACAATTAATGCTTTATTATCCTTTCACCGACTAAATTAAAAATATTTGTTTTTTGCAGGTTTGTTACCCATTTAATGAAGCGTATTCAGCGTGGTCCAGTACGTGGAATCTCCATTAAGTTGCAGGAGGAGGAGCGTGAGCGCCGTGACAACTATGTTCCCGAGGTTTCTGCTTTGGAGCAGGGTATCATTGAAGTTGATGCTGATACAAAGGAGATGCTTAAGTTGATGGTAATTATAGCTGCCCTTTCATTGTTTATAAATAGTGTTTTTTAAAATGATTGGCTGTGTAACTCAGTTTGTATTGTTTGAGTTCATTTCTGGATCAGAGTGAAGGACTGGGTTTCCTTTTTCTGTACATGGATGTAAATGAGAACAGTGATAGGTATTCTTACTATTAGTGGAACAATCCTTCTTATGACAAATGAGTCCAGGATAACGTTGACTGAAGCTTTTTTCATGCATCAACAATTTTAGATTTGTGGCAGGTTCAAGGTTTTACACCATGGCACATTTTGCATTGGGGCTCTAGTGAGGATCAAACACTGCCACCCTTAATATTCTTAATGTACTACAAGTTTCTTGATTGAAGGTGGTCAGGACTCTTGCAGACAATTCAATTGCAATAACAAGATTTGAAGAACAGTAAGATTGTTAGTGGAATTTGGACTGTGAATGGACAGTTTCAGTCATTCCTTTCAATTTGCTCATGAGAGAAGAGGGGAAGTGGGAAAAAAGCTAAGATGTTGTTCAAACAGTTTGGTGTACAGCGAACCCTCAAAATTTATTGTTTTGATAATTAGCAGCAGTTCTCCGAATACATATTTAACTCTTCGTGGATTCAACCCCTGGTGTAGCGAATCATTAGTCTCAGTGGGAAAAGAGGAACTGGTGCCAGAGGTCCAGAAAACCTCTGAATATCCTATAACTTTACTCAACACAATATTAATTTTGCCTCCCATTAACCCAGTACTTTATTTAAAATTGCAATACGTTTTCATATTTTGGGTATCCCTGCCCCATTAACCAGGTTCCAGTGGCAGTACGTACTGGCAATCAATAATAGCATGGTTCCCTTGTCACTCTAAATAATTTTCACACAGCATGTATTGCTGGAAAAGAAAGGTCCGCTGTCAGTGACTTGTGTATGGGGGGGGGGGAGAAGGGCATCTCTACTGAATAAAATGTGTTAGCCAAGCCAAGTGGTAAAAGTGGCATCATCATAGTGAAAGGGTTAAGGGGGAAAATGAGAGTACTGCACAGTTTGAGCAGGGTGACCATTTGTCTGAGTAATGCTGATCGGATAGAGTATTTAGCTAACTGCAGAATTGTTCCATCATTGGCAAGTGTACACATTGATGTACACATTTCATTGCTTATTTTGCAAGGAGGAAACCCAGTCTTTCCCTGTAACTGGCAATTGAACCTTGGGTCCTTTGCATAGGAGGAGCCCTTTCATGGATAGTTTTATATATGGAACAGACTTGGATTTTACTAGTTCATTGCCAGTTTAATGATTATCTTATTACATACATGTTTTGTGGGAATTGTTATTATAAGATTTATTCTGTGAAGTATTGATAATTTGTTATGCTTTGGTAGTTAAGACACTATTGTATGTATTTTTACATTTCAGGACTTTGATAAGGTTGCTGGCCTGCAGGTGACACAGCCCATTCCATCTTCCTATGGTGGCAGGCGATAAACTAAAATAAATATCTACAAAGAAAGTGCTGTTTTTCTTAAAATTTAAAATTGTATTAATAGAGTAATGGGCCCTGATACTCAAAGATATTTACAATATTATTACTCCCAGTTAACTCTGTAAGTCAATCCTAGAGGTTGCAAGTCCTCTCTAGCAATACTCAAAGCAAAATATTGGCCATCTTGTTGCATCACATGTTGTAACAGGAGGCTGTAACCTTCAGGAGTTTTGGAGCTCCTGTAACAGAATAAACCCCAACATAGTACAGTATATTTCAAGATTGCATAAGCAGCATAATCCTTCCAAGCTATGATAATCCACATTAAAGCTGTTTTATCAGAGAATACTGCAGAAAATATGTTGTTCTACATATTTCCTCAGTGTGAAATTTTAAACTGAGGAATTAGACACCTTTTTAGGGTGGAGTACGAAGAGGTTATATAGGCTGTACCGACTCATCCAATTATTATTCGTGCTGTACTTTTCATAATAGCGGCATACCTTGATAACCGACGAATATGGGGACCGTGAAAAGTCGTTGGTTGTTGAATCACCAGTTATCAAAGCAATTGGTTCCATAAAAATATAACAAATTTGGGGAATTATGGATTGGCCACCCCTAAAATAACTCCCATCTACCCTGGATTTAAATGTCATGTGCATTGTCAAGCAAGGAAATAAGGCAAGCATTAAATAAGGAATGTAAAGCATAAATTGGGACTTCTTTACCTGTGGGTGATAGCGACAGTCTAGCATGGCAAGCTTAAGTCAATCACTGGTCCCAGTCACCCAAGGGACACCCCAGACCTTGAATTGTCAGCCACCCTTGGGTGCATCCTATTGCATTTCCTGACAATGAATCAACAGCCATTCCTAAAACAGATATCTTTCTGTAGCTCTTCACAGTCCATTTGGTTCTTAAATTTCCCTGAATAATTTGGCATCACCCACAAACAAAAGGTTTTTATTTTACAAGGCTATAGGGCATGAGTGTGTCCACCAGGATGTCATTGCTATAGGACGTGTGTATCCACCAGAAGGTCAGGGTTATAGGGCATGTGTGTCTCCACCAGGAGGTCAGGGCATGTGTGCGTGTGTGTCCACCAGGAGCTCAGGGCTGTAGGACGTGTGTGTGTGTCCACCAGGATGTAGGTCATGTTTGTGTCTACTAGGAGGTCAGGGCTGTAGGTCATGTTTGTGTCCCCTAGGAGGTCATGTTTGTGTCCCCCAGGAGGTTAGGGCTGTAGGACATGTGTTTGTGAGTGTGTCCCCCCCAGGAGGTCAAGGCTATAAGGCATGTTTGTCTGTCCCCCAGGAGGTCAAGGCTATAAGGCATGTTTGTCTGTCCCCCAGGAGGTCAAGGCTAGAAGGCATGTTTGTCTGTCCCCAAGGAAGTCAGGGCTATAGGGCATGTGTTACCCAGGAGGTCAGAACTGTAGGGCATGTGTGTGTGTCCCCAGGAGGTCATTGTTGTAGGGCATGTGTGTGTGTCACCCAGGAGGTCATTGTTGTAGGGCATGTGTGTGTGTGTCACCTAGGAGGTCAGGACTGTAGGGCATGTGTGTCCCCCAGGAAGTCAGAGGCTGTGAGGACCATTTGTGTCTCCCCAGATTTAATTCCATGCCCTATTTTAGTGTCATCAGCAAATTTACTTTATTTACTGTCTCTACATACATCTCTATGTAAGTTTATATATATATATATATATATATATATATATATATATATATATATATATATATATATATATATATATATATATATATATATATATATATATATATATATATATATATATATATATATATATATATATATATGTACCCATATGCGGTCAATTAGACAGGGTCCAGGGCAAGTGAATAACAGAACATATGGGATTAATTCCAATAGAACCCAGCCCGACCCCCAAACTCCACTTTTTGACGACAAATAACTATGTTGTAGTAAAAATTCTATCTTAACTTTATGGTGGCATGAAAAACAAGTAATATAGAAGAGGTTAGGTTAGGAAAGATAAAGGTTAACATAGGAAAAATAAAGAATAGGTTAAAAAACGAAAATTTTTGAGGAACACTTACGGTAGTAGAAGAGATGGGTCGGCATACGGGGATGGAGGCTGGTTCCGAGGCAGAGGGCAGATTACTGCCCCTCAGGTGAATCACCATTACTAGGTGAATCAATATCACTGTCACTTACAGTTGTCATGGCTTCCCTGACAAATCCCTCAAAATCAACTTCACTCTCACTCACTGGCTTGGGCTGGCTGTGGTGGGTTGCGGGCGAAGAACTCGGTTATGCTTTGCTGACGGCTGGCTTTGATGTTGTCATGATACACCGTGATGTACGGCTCCATAGCCTGCACCAGTCGGGTATGGAAGACGTCATGGCGTTCATCGTCAGTGTCGCGGGAAACGATGGACTTAATTTTTTCTGTTAACTCTATGAGACACTTAATATCACTATGACTTAAACTAGGTTCTTCGGAGAATGACGCACCTTCTTCCTCCTCTTCACTGGCGGGTTCTTCTTCCAACATCTCGTCGGCAGTCACTTCAGGATCTCTGATCACCTCCATGATGTCTTCGTTGGTGGTCTCGGAGAAGCCTTCAGCTGTAATACTGAGCGCAGCTTCTCTGGCAAGGTCCACTGCTACTGCAACAGTCTGAACCTGACCAGTCACAGGTTCACTCCTCCTCTCACCTGGTATGCCATGCAACACATGTCTCCATGCGTGACGAATCGTAGCAATAGTCAGCAGATCCCATGCCTCCACCAAGAAGTCTACAGCTTGTTTGACGTTAAACTTCTTCCAAAATTGTTTGACGAGAAGTTCTTGAGTCGCCGCCTCTTGTTCCTTGTCCTCGTCGCTTTTACTCTCGCTGTCGGTGTCACCCAGCTTACGCAACTCATCCTTGGTGTTGGTAGAGTCGTTCAGGAGCTTGAATTTCTTTGCCGAGTATGCAGCTTTAACATTGCAGATTAACTCCTGGTCCATAGGCTGGATTAATGACGTAGTGTTGGGAGGAAGGAAGACCACTTTTACGTTGGGGTGACGATCCATAAGTAGGGGCGAGTGTCCAGGTGCGTTGTCAAGGAGCAACAAAATATTGAAAGGAACATTCTGTTGCTCGCAGAATTTCTGCACGTCAGGAACAAAACAGTTGTCAAACCAGAAGAGGGACAGAGAAGAGGACATCCACGCCTTACGTGCGGTTAGCCAGTGGACATTAAGCTTGTTCATGTCCATATTCTTGTAGGCGTGCGGCTTGCGGGCTTTGTGAATCACCGATAACTTTGGTTTACAGGTACCGGAGGCATTGGTGGTAAACAGGACGGTGATGCGTTCCTTCTGCATCTTCCGGCCCCTTACCTTGCTCGCAGACTGGACAACGAAGGTCTTGGAAGGTAACTTTTTCCAGAAAAGACCAGATTCGTCCATGTTAAACACCTGGTCGTCACTGTACTGTCCTTCCTCCATAATCTCACGTAAAAACGGAGGAAAATCTCTAGCCGCCGCACGGTCAGCACTCGCTTCCTCACCAACAATGCTGATGTTGGTGACCTTGTTCCTCCTCTTAAACCTATGCAGCCAACCATGGGAAGCATTGAAGGGTTTGGGCTCTGCAATTCCCAGTTTACGTGTCACTGCTGCGTATAGCTCACGTGCGTACTCCTGCACTGAGCGCGTGTCCACCGCCATGTTGCGTCGCGCCTGACGCACCAAATAACTCACCAGCAAAGTTTCCACTTTTGCCAGCACCCTGTTCTGGCAATACCTGATAGATGAAGCACCTGCAGACTTTGTGATCTTCATGTGCTCCTTTATCTTGGCTGCATCCTTCTTTATTGTACGAATCGTAGATTCGTTGACGCCATGCTGGCGCGCGAGATCAACTTGGCGTCTTCCTTTCTCCAAATCTTGAACAATTTGGTACTTCAGCTCGTAGCTTAATGAACGTCGTGTCTTCTTTGGTTTAGTGCCGCTGGGTCCAGGTAAGGAAAGGTTTCTCTCTGGGGGTGGTGGTCCGGCGGAAGCCATTTTACGGAACAATGGATGCGCGTTAACCCGGCGTGGCCTTGAGGGATGAAACTGCCGCGGCTAGGTCAAGCGTCGTCTCTCCTCCCTCCCTCCCTCCCCGGGGTAGTCACGTCATAATACTTTAAGCCAATTACAGCTAGCAGCAGAGGGGGGTAGGGCTGCATGGCCAATCACAGTCCGAGACGTCATATGACGTCAGTGATAACGCAACAAAGACACACACTGCGCAACCTTACCGCGCCGCTTGCCCAAGCGGAGGGAGGAGGAAGGAGAGGCAGGCAGGCAGGCAGGAGGGCGGGTGGCGCGTGGTCAAAATCTAAAAATAGCATCCGAGCCGGACACTCACCTCGTATATGATGAAAAATGCCGCGTTAAGTGAAAGTTCAGCTTTGGCAAGGCACCGCGTATATGCGAAAACGCGTTAAGTGAAAGCGCGTTAAGCGGGGTAAAACTGTATATATTAAATAATAAAGGTCCAAGGACTGAGCCTTAGGCTACTCCACTGGTGACATTACTCCTTGCTATAGATACAAGAGCAGTACTCCCTGCTATAGATACAAGAGCAGTATTCCCTGCTATAGATACAAGAGCAGTATTCCCTGCTATAGATACAAGAGCAGTATTCCCTGCTATAGATACAAGAGCAGTATTCCCTGCTATAGATACAAGAGCAGTACTCCGTGCTATAGATACAATAGCAGTACTCCTTGCTATAGATATGAGAGCAGTACGCTGTGCTGTAGTTACGAGAGCAGTACTCCGTGCTATAGATATGAGAGCAGTACGCTGTGCTATAGTTACGAGAGTAGTACTTCGTGCTATAGATTTGAGAACAGTACTCCGTGTTAGGAGGAATGAACCCCTTATAAGCCTGAAGCATCTGGCCAGGAGTGAAGCATAGTTATGGCATCTGTACAACCCCAGCTTACTCTATGTTATACAGGTTATGTGTTGCTTCCATGACAGGAAATGGTGAGGCCTAG